ACAAAATCAAAACAAAACCCCTCATATCCCTCATCCCTCCTCCAACGAACATCCCTTCCTCCAAACGATCCCAGCCCCGAATCCAGTACACCAGTCCACGACCCCACCCCTTCAAGTTCACTAGCATCTTCCCTATTCTCCTTCACCACATGTATGAGCCCTAGGTTCTTTCTTCTCTTTTTCTTTCTTTATTTTTCAGATTTGTTTGTTGTATTCTTATGCTATATTGTAGGAGTTGTACTTAGATGTTGTGTAGAAATTGGTGCAATGTGTTTTGGTGTTGGTGTATGATAAGTGTGGGGTGGAATCCCACTTGATTTGTGATGTTGATGACTACATGTGGGTGGTTCTTGTACTAAACATCTTCAAAGGTGTTGTGCAGGCCTAATGCCCACAAGGTATTTGAGGAAAGGTCCCAATGAGCATGATTATGTAGTTGTGACTACTTTTGCATGTGAAGTCTGAGTAACCGAATTAAGTCACAATATTTTTGTTGGGCTGGGCTGATGTGTTCCCGTTTTGCAGGTATCATGGCACCATCGCGAAAGTGCCAAGCCACTGGTCCATCATCAAGCCGCCAAGCTGGCACATCTAGGACACAAGGGGACCCCCCTGCACGCCCCTATGACAGCAGCAAATTTGTTTCAGCTGAGGCTCAGACCCGCTTTACGGAGAAAGCCGCTAAAAAGCCAATTCCGGAGAGGGGCATTGACATCCGTTCGGTCAAGGAGCGCTGCCCCCACATGTATTCGGAGTTGATGGCGCGGGGTTTGCAGACCTTCATTGATGAGCCAGGGGAGGCTAATGTAATGGTTGTAAGAGAATTCTATGCTAATCTGCCAGAGCAAATAGACAATGTGGTCACGGTGCGCCGCAAGGCGGTAGATGCCTCCATTGAGGCGATACGCACAGCATATCAGTTGCCCGATCCTCTACCTGATAATACGGACTTTTATGAGTATGGCAAAAATCCAACAGACGCCAAGTGGGGGCGCTTCTTTGATGAAATTTGCGCACCAGGAAAAATGGTGGAGTGGCTGGAACACGGTGAGAAGTTCCACTCCTCCGTCTTAACTCCAGAGGCGAAGAGCTGGTTATATGTGATTAACAGTCGCCTTATTCCCTCCAAAAATACTACGGAGGTGAATGGACCCCGAGCTGCATTGATTTGGTGTTTCGTCAAGGGTCTTCCCTTCATTATGGCCAAGGTGATCCACGACGAAATGTTTATCAGGAGCTCCCAACTCAGGTATGGGTTCTTTTTCCCCTCTTTGGTGACTAAGCTTTGCAGGCAAGTGCAGGTGCCCGATAATCTTCGTGTGGATGGGCTGGTAAGAAAAAGCCACAAGATCCGACCAGAAAAGAGCACCACGGTGCCAACCCCAGAAGCAGCAGCAGGTGGAGTGGATGAGAGTGGCTCTGATGCATCGGAGGACGAGGAGGCTGAACAAATGAACGTGGAAGGCGAAACGCAAGCCCATGCGCCCAGCGCAACAGCTGCAGCATCGTCAGGAGCAGCGTCCTCTTCAGGAACTGCTAGGGTGTCCCGGTTCATAGCATTGGAGCAGGAGGTAGCTGGGATACGCTCCTCAGTGACTGATTTGGGCATCCGTGTGGACGCGATGGCTGACCGACAAGCCAAGTCGGAGAAGAAGTTCATGGGTTGGCTGCGAGCTCTGGGGCGTGCGTGCAACGTAAACCCAGACACCATCTCCGACCAAGAGTGAGACTTCAGGGAAGTTCCCTTACTTCACTGTTCTTTCAATTTTAAGCCATGAGGACATGTCTTTATCTTTAAGTGTGGGGTGGGGGTACTTCGTTGTATGTTTGTAGATGTATCATTTGAATGTTGTTTTTGTTTTGTTTTGTTTGATTTTGCTAGTTTAGCATTAAGTAGGAATCATTAGTTAAAATAGATAAATGGCTCGTCCCGACGACGGATCCCTTTCGACGGGGTTCTTGAGGGACTAAGTCGAAGAAAAAAAAAACTGAAAATATGTAGACTCTTCCTGATGACGGATCTTTTAGACGATTTTCTTGAGGGAAGTTAGTCTAAGAAAAACACCAAAAAGATATTTTTTTAGGTAGTGTAGCAACTTCCCCTTGGTTTTCTTTATACCACGGTTCTTTTCCAAGGGTTTAACTTGAACCGGGTGTAGGTAGTTTTTATTTTTACTTTTTATTTGTAGATTAGGTTAATGGGCTACGAGCTAGAAAATTCAAAAGAGAACCCATAGCGTTAACACACCTGAACACAATAGACCCTAGAGTGTAACGCTTAGTCTTGTTTGTTGAATCTCACTAAAGTGCCTTAATCTGTATGTTTGACTGAATTGAATGCTCGTAATGGAGTATCTTGAGGAGCTGATCTGAAACGATTCATGTACCATGTGTGGTGAGGTTTTTGTATAGTCTATGTATTGTATTTGTGTCTAGAACTTGCCCGGTATGTGAGTTGAAGCGAAATTTTAGGTAATGCTCGGTTTGAAAGATGATTTTAGGCCCTCTTTGATCTTTTTGAGCTTAATTGCTTACCACAGATAAATTATATCCCTAGTTAACCCTTTTGAGCCTATAGACTTTTATTTGGCACCCACATTACAAGCCTATATCCTTTTTGTTCTTATTTGATATCTTTGATCCTTTTTCCTCTTAAAGCACTTTAATTGTGAGATGAGCGCTAAAAGAAGTAAGAAGGGACTAGCGTGGGGTGGCTTTTGAGTGGAACCAATGAAAGAAAGATGGGTGCACTTATATTTGTAAAATAATACACCACTAGCGAAAATTGAAAAAACAAAGAAGGAAAATATAGGTGAATAAATTGTTGTCTTGTTCTTGCTAGTGGGATATAAGTTAAAGTAGTGCTTAAAGAAAGAGGGAAAATTTTTGGGGTGATATTGTTTGTGAAATTGAAGTAGGGATTGAAAAAATTGCGCTCAAAGTGATTATGTGGTGTGTTAAAGTGCTTAGGAGGGTGAGCCACTATTCCTAAATATATCCTACCCGTCCCTTAGCCCACATTACAACCATGAAAAAGTCCTAATTGATTTTAGACCGAGTGAGCCTACACTAGTAGAGATTTACATTAAGGGCAAGCCTATGGTACCAATTGCATGCACGTGACTTCTTTTGTGAGGGTGAGTGATTTCTTTGATATATGTGAGCATATGATTCGATTGTGTGGATTGGTTTCAATTTTCGTTGATGTGATTGTGAGGGCATGTAATTCGTGAAGGAAAGGCAAGTCTTGACCTCTGTGTAGAGTATGTTGAGGAAGTATGAATATTGCATGGCACTTGAGAGTCAACCTTTGAGGCTAGGATTTTTCACTGCTAGGCGTAATGTATATAAATTGTTCTGGGTGTAATGCGTTAGGGGAAATGGTTGAGTGAAGGAATCTCTAGAGAGTATAGTTTGATTGCTCGAGGACTAGCAATGAATTAAGTGTAGGGTGTTGATAATAGGTTAAATCTAGGTGATTTAGCTATTGTTTATGCTTCCGCTTGATTATATTCCAATGTCATAATATGGTTAATTGATGAAAAATAGGCTCTAATTGTGAATTGTATACATTGCAGGATGAGGAGCTTATGTGATGCTTTCAAGAGACTATTGGAATGATTTATGAGCAAGAACGATCCCTCGGAGCTGAGTGCGCGCAAGGACGAGACAAAGAAATGGAAGAAATGATGGCCCAGGTGCGCGAGCAGATGCGCGAAGTCGCGCGTGTTAGGGAGCTGAGGCAGAATGGTGCGCGAAGTCACGCGCGAGCTCGCGCGTTTCCCAGTTCGGAAAAGAGTTATTCAGGGGCAAAATTGGAAATCTGGAGAGAAACCCACTTAACCTATATAAAGTCAAGCTCGCCCAAGGTTAATTTATCAAGTTTTTCATAGTCTAGAGGGAGAAATGGAGAGGCAAGAGGCAAGGAGGGGATTTAACCATCAGTTTCTTCTTTTCTTCTCGTTGTTTTTGCTAATTGTGATGAATTTGAACCCTATTGTGATGAACATGAGTATGAGTGGCTAAACACCCATTGTTCTGGGGTTGTGATTTAGCCATGAATATTGTTGTTTGATATTAGCTTGACCTTGATTATAATTCACCACTATATGGTTGTTTCGTCAATTATGTGTTTAATTGCTTAATTGTCTGGCCAATAGTTAGGTTCTATTTACTATCTATGCTATGCTTGGGAAAGCCATATTTAGATTAGAGAAGAATTGAAGAGAGCATGATCTTAACCCTTAGGGGGAGCGGATTTGTGGTTAGGATAGGAATATACCTAGTCACCGTGCTTAATTAAATATCGTAATCTTAATGCGTTCTTAATAGGTTGATTCCATAGGAATATATGCGTTAATCTATTGAGAATATGTGAGTAGTACTTCGGGAGAAGGCTATGAGAGCATTTATCGATTAATTAGCAATCATGGGTGAATTATATGAAAGGGAGAGTTAATTAGAACACAATACGAATGGTGAATCGATCACAACCCTGGAATACTTGTCTCTACTGAATACACAACAATCAATTCGTTACTTGATAATTTAGTTTTACTTAGAATCATAGTATAATATAATCATATCATTGGATTTTGATTTTAGCTAGATTGAATAGCAATTTGAGTAATTCCGTGAGTAGTTTATACAAGTCTCTGTGGGTTCGACACTCAACTTATCATTATATTACTTGTCGACCACGTATACTTGCGTGTGCGTTTTGGAGCAACAACTAGTAATATAATAAGTATAAATACTACTAGAAAGTCAACGACAATTTACATAACTAATGCATGGTTGTATTAGTTAAGTGTATAATATTAACATTTAATTAGGCCATTAAATGAATCATGTGCTAAGTGAAATTTCCAATAGAAATATAATTTAGAAACTGTTGCCCAACTTGGGCAAGATTTGAATATAAAAATAAGCTAAGAAATAATAAAAAACAACTATTGTCATGGCTCTTTCATTAGCGGCGAGGCTTATAAATTGTGGCCTTTGGAAAGCATAAATGCTCATATAAAAACTTTTATCAAGCACGAAGCAATACTTTCAAGAATGGCATCACTTAAAATTGGTTACTTTTTTACTATTCTTCTCGTAGCAGCCACAAGTTAGTGTCTATCTTTCTATGTTTCTCTAAATTATAAATCTATATTATGTATGTGTCATTTATATACATGACGATACATATGCGACTACAAACATATTTCATATGTATACAAAATATATGCGAGCATGTTTATTATGCATGATGTCTGCATTTGTGCTGTTTGTAATGTATTAATCATACTTTAATTTTGATTTATGATGGTGAAAATTTTCAGTCAATTCGACGTGGCTCTCAAAGAAGCAAGTTTTTGCTGGACCAGTTGTTGATCATGATTTCTCAGGACTCAAGAGGAGATTACTCCCACAACTTAATGATCTTCTCACTTGTAAGAGATCTTGCACTACTAGTGAGGATTGCAACGATTGCTGGGTTTGTTGTTACTGTTATGAACTTACTAATGCGATTAGTACGCTCAAAGTTTGTACCAGCTACTCCAGAACATGAATCTTATATGTATTTATTCAAAGAACATTGCGACAAATCTTTGTTATGAATTGTCTTTCCATGTGTTGTTAGTGTTTCCTTTGGGTATATTTTGTACGAAGGTAATATTTTCCACGAAAAATATTTTTCCGAAAAATATTTTCTCGAAAATAAATGATTTGCTTAAAGATATTCCAGCATTTGTTTGATGAATGGCAAATATTTTCCAGAAATTATTTTGTGGTGTTTATTTAGTTTGTAGAAAATATATTTCATTCTTACGTACATGAACTCTCGAAGTTGCTTGTGTATTGATGATAGGCTATAATTACGCATTTTAGTCGATTATTACACTCAAATTTGCTGCACTTTGATTGAGTTTGAGCTTCAATCGCTAGTGTCTTGCACTAACTGTGTGTTTTATGCCTTGTAGGAGTGATTTCGAGCTATATAGATATTATGGAATGAATTCAAGTGATTTGGAGCTTTGAAGTCTGAGTAAAAGCTCAGGGAATTAAGCCGGAATCGTGTTTGGGGGTCAGCGGATGATAGTTAGAGCGAACGAAGAATCGAGTAGGCATATTGCGCACTGTCTAGTAAAATGGATATAACTTTTTGCTCAGAACTCCATTTGGTCTCCACAATATATGGTTGGAAAGCTAACTCAAAGGGATACAACTTTCATGTTTTATATTTTATCAAATTGCAAACAGAACGGGGCAAAACGTGCAAGATTTGAGACAAAACGAACAAAACCAGGAAAAAGGGCCAGTTGGGCGCCACCTGTGGCGCCAAAAACAGTATGCACAAATATTTGGGCGCCGTGGAGGGCGCCTGGCGCCGGGCTGGGCGCCGGTGACGTGAAATGTGTCCTATTTCGCCCGGGACAAGGTTATTTCGGCCCTAGACCTACCCAACACGTATAAAAGCAAGACTAAACCTATTTTTGAAGGAGAGAGATGCCACTTTGAAGTAAAAACGCACACGGGATCGTGAGGAAGCGGAGAATTCTCAGTTTTCTTCATCTTTTTCTAGTATTTTCAATTGATTCAACAATTATGCAATTGTTTGATTACATCATGAGTGGCTAAACACCCATTGTTCTGGGGTTGTGATTTAGCCATGAATATTGTTGTTTGATATTAGCTTGACCTTGATTATAATTCACTAATATATGGTTGTTTCTTCAATTCTGTGTTTAATTGCTTAATTGTCTAGCCAGCAGTTAGGTTCTATTTACTATCTATGCTATCCTTGGGAAAGCCGTGTTTAGATTAGAGAAGAATTGAAGAGAGCATGATCTTAACCCTTAGGTGGAGCGGATTTGTGGTTAGGATAGGAATATACCTAGTCACCGTGCTTAATTAAATATCGTGATCTTAACGCGTTCTTAATAGATATTTCATAGGAATATAGGCGTTAATCTATTGAGAATAGGTGAGTAGTACTTCGGAGAAGGCTATGAGAGCATTTATCGATTAATTAGCAACCATGAGTGAATTATATGAAAGGGAGAGTTAATTAGAACACAATACGAATGGTGAATCGATCACAACCCTGGAATACTTGTCTCTACTGAATACACAACAATCAACTCGTTACTTGATAATTTAGTTATTATTTAGAATCGTAGTATAGTATAATCATATTATAGTACTTTGCTTTTAGCTATATTGAATAATAATTTTAGTGATTTAGTGAGTAGTTTACACAAGTCTCTGTGGATTCGACACTCAATTTATCATTATATTACTTATCGACCACGTATACTTGCGTGTGCATTTGGGAGCAACAAGTTTTTGGCGCCGTTGTCGGGGACTTGAATATAAACTACTTTCTAGTTTTTGCTTTAATTGTTTATTTAATCTAGTTTAACGTTACTTGATTGTTGCTCTAATCTCAGAAACTTTGATTGAATGCGTAGGGTCAGAAGCCAGGACAGACTCAACGGCTTTGACCCCGAACCTGAGAAAACATTTCACAGGAGGTTGAGGGAAGCAAGGGATACAAACAATATTCAAGCACTCATTCAATTTCCTGTGAACATGGCAGAGGAGCAACATATGGCTGTTCAGGAGGTAGCAATGCCCAGTATTGCTAATGTTACCTCCAGTATCGTGAAGCCCAGAATCACTGGGCACTTTGAGCTGAAACAGAGCATGATCCAGTTACTTCATGCAAACGGACAGTTTATGGGTCTTCCGCACGAGGATCCACAACACCATATTCTGAACTTCTTGGAGATTAGTGACACTTATATCACTCACGGGCTCACTCCAGATTATGTGAAGCTCACACTTTTTCCATTCTCTCTGTTGGGCGAAGCTAAGCGATGGCTAAAGGCAGAACCAGCTAATTCCATTACATCATGGAATGATTTGGCAAGAAAATTGCTGGCAAGGTTCTTTCCATCAGGCAAAACTGCAAAGATCAGAAGTGAGGTAGTTGCCTT